ATCATTGAACGAACCACCAACGTCATTAAGTAGTAAGCTGGCGATGAAAAGTATAATAGGAGTGATGAAACCATCACCGACGGCTCCTATCAACCCTAGTCCCATCAACATCCAATCCACACTGTCAGCGTGCATAAAAAGCGATCTTATGCTTCCCCAACTCTTCATTTTCAACGTCTCTCCTCTCTTATCAACAACGTTTTTAGAGAAAAGACCAAAACGACTTCTTAACCTAAAGGAAACGGCATTAGCATTTGTGATACACAGAAGTAGACCGTACACCTATTAGTAATACACAAGTTTTTTTTTTTATATATTATAGCATACATTTTATTACAGCAACTTCCCTATTTTAATTGGTTTCTTCGTGTTATTTTTTAACTTTGAAAATATATGGTTGTGTTCCGTATCTATATTTATAACTAGTAGAATCACAAAATGATTCTTCAAACAGACCAAAACGACTTCTTAACCTAAAGGAAACGGCAGCTCACAGCCTTCCTGTTTTTGGTGGATCTTCTCGTGTAATGTTTATTTGTTCACATCTTCTTGATCGTTTTTTATATTAGCATTTGTGATACACAGAAGTAGACCGAAGACCTATTATACACAAGTTTTTTTTATATATTATAGCATGCATTCTATTTTAATTGGTTTCTTCTTGTTATTTTTTAACTTTGAAAATATTTGATTGTGTTCCGTATCTATATTTATAACTAGTAGAATCACAAAATGATTCTTTAAACAGCCCCACTAAATGATGTCTGCTAAAAGATCTCTCAAGCTTTCGTGTCTCCCACATCGTACTTGTGATTTCGGACCAAATTTGGAAAACAGTTAGATGCCAGTAAGAATCAAATTTATTTTAATGGACAAAGTCATATTTTATTTATGGAAAACGTTTTTAGTGTAGTATATTACTATCTTCACGTGCAGGCATCAGCCATACTATTCATTAAAGAGCTATTTGAAGTTTGAACATTTAAAAACAAATAATGTACTTTAATCAGACATGTTATCAAATTTATCGTTGACTCTAGCTGTTTACATAAGGTTAAGCTTTTTAATAAAAAATATCAACTAAATTTCGTTAAACTTTTTAATACCCTAACTTTTTGGGTATCCATATTAATATTTAACTTAACTATTTTGCTGACTTTAATATACTTACTTTTAAAACATAACTCATTCTTAATATTCAAACTTGCTCATTTAAAATAAAAATATTAATAATTGCAAACAATTTTTTAAACAAAATCTATAAAACTATAAAACTATAAAGTTCTTATAAAATTTCAAATATTATTTAATTTTTTAGAATAAAAGTAAGTAAATTTTGGATAATAATTTAGAAAAATTAATTCTTAATAAAATAAATAAATTATTTTTAAATTTCTGAAAACTTTCGAAATTTTTAATTAAAACCAAAACTAATATTAGAAAAAATTAAGATTAGCCCAAATTTAGTTAATTTTAGTTTAAATTTAAAATATACTTAAAAAAAAATTAAGATATTATTTTGAATCTTAGACATTTTTAAGTTTTGTTTGAGCCTTATTATTAAAATGAATATACTTTGGGTAATTAAATGAGCACATTTTTAAAATGGGGAAATGGTTAGTTTGGATGTAAATAAAGTAAAAAAAAAATTGGATATTAAAAGACTTCATGAAATTTAGTTAAAATATTGTTATGATATTTTCCCTTATAAGATATATAATTATAAAAAATTTATGTAAATTCATATTATAGAAGTTTATACTTTTGGACCATTTGCGTATAATATTTTTGAAAGTAATGATGATACATTTTAATAGTATATCATCCCAGTTTTGGGTTTAAGTTTTTTTGTTTCATATGAATTTATATGTTCTTACTGAAAGACTTATTACTAACCAAAATAATTTAATACTCAAAATTTAAAGTTTCAAAACTTTAAATTTAATAAATTTAAATATTTAAGTTATATATATATTTAAATTTTAAATATTTAGATATTCAGATATTCAGTTATTTATTCATATTTAAATAGTATTTTTAGGTATCCGATTCCCATTTGAGGTTCCAATTAATAAGGTGAAAGACATTCCAAATTTGATTCTAATACTAGTCTTGAGCAAAATTTTGCCAGTTTTCATCTTCGTCGAAATAATTAACTTTCAATTTAAAACTAACTGATTTTAAATGGAATGTTCTTATTTTTTATATATTAGTTAATTATTTCTTAAATTAGCGATATGGAACTTTAATTCATCAACACTCTTCCTCACGACAAATATGGGAACATTATCATGGAGTAGACCAACATCGGATGGCTCTGCCATGTTAAAATCAGATTTGATGTCGGTATCCAAATTAAAACCAGTCGCTAATAAGTGATTTGGCCATAATATTTTATAAATTAGTTAATTATTTGGTGTGGGAAATTTATTCACTAACAACGGTCTTGGAGAGCATCTTATTTCACTGATATGAGTTTTCAACATATAAGCAAAATTTTAATGTTGATTTTTGAATTGAATATTAAATTTATTCAAATCAAAAGCTATTATTTACATCAAGTGCAACTTGTTTGGAAATGTAAATGAAACAAAACTTTCTTATGATATTATCTGTGAAAACCAAGTCCTATATTGAAGAATTAGTCAAATAGTGTCTAATATACAAATATATGTTCAGCTCTAATTACTACGAGACATTTTGGAAAGAAAGCCAAATATAAATCCATGTGAGTCAATTCTATAGGCACAAAGTAGACAATATCATACTAATCGGATAACAAAAAATTGGACATATACTTTCTTTTTGAAAGAAAAAAAAAAGAACATAAACTAATGAGTAAGGACATATATTTTCACAATCTCAACAATTGACATCATAACGGTTTGATGATAAATTTACAAAAAGACCAAACTAGCCTTCGAAATATGAATAAGATCCTTCGAGTTATGAATTGGAGATATGTGTGACAGAGATCAAATCAGAAGATCTTGAAAGTTAGTTGTGGGATACGAGATGAATGTGATCTTTAGTTTAAGGGAAAAAATGTGAAATATGAAACTAAATCTCATATTGGAAAATTAGACAAAGAATATCTAATATATAAAAAGATGTCCAACTCTAATTAGTACAAGACCTTTTGAGAAGAAATATAATAATAAATCTATGCGAGCCAGTTTCATAATCCCAAAGTAAATAATATCGTACTAATCGGATAATAAAGAATTGGACATAGACTTTCATAGTCCAAGCATATACTATATTTCTTAATGTTGATTGATATAGTATGCACAAAGATCCGTGTATACTATATCAATAATCCTATATCAATCACTTGATGAAATATCAGAAACCAACACACAATCTCATCATGATGAGTGAATACACTGACACCATTGATCTTGATTATAATATATCATACAAAATTACAATATAATTAGATCTTTTGAAATATGATTGATTGTCTCAGATGTCTCTGCAGTCTTATGAAGTACGCGATACGAGATACGTATTTTATTCGATCTTTGTCTCACGAACGTGCATGCTATTTAGAAGCATGTCTTACCGACCGTGTTAAATTTCCACACATAAAAACAAAACAAACAATTTGATCCCCTATAAACTCATATTAACGCGTATGATTTCTTTTTTCCTTGTTTGTTTTCAGTTATTTCAACATACCTAATATATTTATATTTTATATTATAAAATTTTCCAATTTTGTCAAGAAATGGTACAAAATTTTCCATAATTGTTTCGTATAAATCTGATACGATTTCTGTTATAATGTATTTCATACTCCGATGTTTCGTGTATCCCACGTCGTCAGTACTGGTTTATAGACTTATCTTTGAAAATAATCAACTGAGTCCTAGAAGAACTAAACATGTATTTAATCTGTCTTTAGTAAAAAAATATTGGAATTTTGATATTTTATTAATTTACAAAGTTACTAATTGAACAGATAGTTCATGAATCATCTGATTTCTTTTACAAAAAAAAAATCATTTTCTTAAATTTTCTATTGTAAGATATATGTTTTGGTAAAATAAAATAAAAAGTATTTTATTTTAGTGTATATATATTAATTAACTATTGAAAATTTGACTATATTAATTTTATTATATTATTTGATATATATATATATATATGTATAATATGTTTCATTGAATTTAAATGTGGTTTTAGATATAGTCTTACTAAACCTCATCAAATATATTATGTGTTAAGAGATAATGTATAAAGAAATGTCCACTGTGAATATAAAAGAGAATTTTCCTAAAATACTATATTCATAATACAATTTTCATGTTTATTATAACTACTTTAATCTTCACTTTAAATAGATAAAATGACATTTATAATCCTAGGATTAACTAATCAATATTTATGCTTTAAGGTTAAAGATAGATAGGGTTTTGGAATGTGGAGTTTTAGATTTTAATAAATATATAAATATTTATATTAAAATATTGAATAAAATTAATAAAATCTAAAATATTAACAAAACTTTATTTTAAAATATAATCTAAACTTAAAAATTGTATTCTCAAAAAATCTTATAAATATAGATAAAATAGATTTCTAATTTAATAAATTAGAATGCAAAAGCCAAACCAAGAGTTACAAAAACAAAACTGAGTATGGATCTTTATACTTTTCCCTGTTTCACTTTCATCTTCACCCTCAACCGAGGTTTCTTTGGAGACTAACCAGTGAGAAGTAAGCACCCATAGAACCCTTTGCCAACAACGTTGAGTGGTTCCCACACTCCACTATCTTTCCTTTATCCAAAACCGCGATGACGTCACAGTTTTGTATCGTACTAAGCCTATGCGCAATCACCACACTAGTCCTCCCAACCATCACTCGCTCCAACGCGTCTTGCACCACACGCTCCGATTGACTATCCAAAGCACTCGTCGCTTCATCGAGTAACAACACAGATGGGTTCTTCAAAACCGCACGCGCTATAGCAATCCTCTGTTTCTGCCCACCCGACAGCAATACACCTCTGTCTCCACAGTTTGTGTCATAACCGTTGGATAATGATGTAATAAAATCATGAGCGTTCGCCGCCTTAGCCGCCTCAATAATCTCCGACTCGTTCATATTTTCCGACGCTCTTCCACCGTACATTATGTTCTCTCTGATGGTTCCGGCAAATAATGCTGGCTCTTGGCTAACCAAAGCTATGTGTTTACGTAACGATCTCAAATGATACGACTTTAGATCACGACCGTCGATTTTAATGGAGCCATTTAAAGGGTCGTAGAACCGTTCGATCAAGCTAATGATCGTTGACTTTCCTGAGCCACTTGGACCGACAATAGCTGTTGACTTTCCTTCCTCTATTTCAATAGACAAGTTCTTGAATATAGCCACGTTTGGTCGTGTAAGATAAGCAAAGTCAACGTTGACAAAACTTATCTGTCCCTTTATTTTGTCTGGAATATACCCGTTTGGACTCTTTGGGTCAATGGTCGTGGAACGGTCCAACACAGCGAACACAGACGCGACAGCATCAGAGCCTTTGGCTAGATCGGTCGTCATGCTCCCAGCTTCTGCTATAACCCGACCAGTACTCACAAAGACCGTAAAGATCTCAAAGAACTGTTTTGCCACGATCTTGCCAGCATCGACGAGTCTACCACCGTACCAGAAGTTTAAAGCCGAAGTGCATGTTATGAGGGCTCGTGAAGTTGCTAGCACGGTTCCAGCTAGCCATGATTGGCGAATGCTTTCTTTTCTTGGACCTTCTTGAACTCTTTTGAGTAGTTTCAAGATTCGTTTTTGTGATGAGAAAGATGTGATGGTTCTGATGTTGGAGACAGCTTCTGCTGCTAGTTTGCTACTCTCGGCTTGCGCTTTGATTGATTTCTTGGATATGCTTTTGAGTAGGATGCGTTGCGTGTAGAAGCATACTACAACAAGTGGCTGCACCGCGATCATCACAATGGCTAGTTGCCAAGCGATGACTAAACCTACTGTGCAAGCTACCGCCACTGCTGATATGGTTTTTACCAACAATGCGACTCGTTCACCAACAAGTGACCTCACCTATGTGATAACAAAACATTACAAGATCAAGAACTTGGTAAGAAATTACTACCAGATATGAGTTGGTATAGGGGTTAAACTCTTTGATCACATAGTAAGGGTCACGGGTTCGATGCTCGTTGTGGGGATGTTCAATCCGGATGTCGGTTCGGTTTTTTCGATTTTTCAGTTTTCCGGTTTATAAAAATTAGCGCCCCTATTAATATCATATCTACTTTGGTTTAGTTCGGTTTATATACTAGCGGTTTTTATTTTTTCGGTTTTATACTAAAAATAATAACTATATTTACCTTTATGATAAATTTTAGTTTATATGATTTGAAATCAGGTTTATTAAAACTTAATATATATCTAGTATTCTATTTTTTTAGAAGAATATCTTATTATTAATTTTTACTATTAAATGATTTTACTTTAGCAAAAATATTTATCAATAAAATATGTTTTTAAATGACTATATTTTAGCACAAATATTTACCAATAAAATATTTTTATTTATTTGATAAAATGAGATTTTTTTAACTTAGAACAAATGAAAATTAATAAAATCGGTGCTATAAATATGAATACCATATTAATACGAAATCATACATATTATTAATTTTATTATTAAATTTGCATGTAAGTATAGTACATATGTTAATTAATTGTTTTTTTTGGTTTGATCGGTTTAAGTACTGAACCATATTCATATACTGCCGATTCTTTCAATTAACATTTATTCGGTTATTCGGTATTACCAAATCTAAATCACTTTCTCTATTTCGATTTAGTTCTAAACACCCCTAATTGTGAGGAATTGGTTCTCCTTTAAAAAAAAGTTCAATTTAATATGGGGATGTACCAACTTTCTGGCCCGAAACATCCTAGACATTAAAAACCAAGAGGTAAAAGTTCAAAAGACATACCACGTTAGCTTCTTTGGCAAGTCTTGAGCAAATTGCACCACTAGAGTTCTCTTCTTTATCGAACCAGGTGACTTCAAAGGTCAATATCTTCTTGAGCATCTTCTCACGGATACGTTTGGTTAGGTATTCACCCATATAAGCAAAACTATATTGTTGAATGGTGATGGAGAAGAAAGTAAAGACAGCTAGACCAACAAAGAACAAGGTATAGATCCTTGTCTTGTCCTTGATCTCGTCATGACTCGTTAGGAAATACACTGACACCATTGATCCTGTAACAAATGAACTTATAGGCTGTACACCCCCATGCAAAGCTGCACTTAAGCAACCATACAATGCATGTTTCCACTCTGGTATATTCATTGCCATCAGTCTCTTAAACGATGGCACAGGTGGTTTCTTACCCTTAGGAACTGAACCAGGAGGAAGATTAGACTCAGTGCTTGACTTAGGTAACAAGTTAGACCCACTTTCACTAGACAGTTTTGGACCGTACATCAAATCTTTGCTCAATATCGATATCTGACCACCTTGGACCCTTACACTGGTGTTACCATCCGATTCTTTATTATCCATCTGTTGCAAACGAACTAGAGAAGCATATTGACCATCTAAGTTCTCCATGAGCTCTTCGTGTGAACCAGCTTCTATAATGCGACCATCTTGGACTATACAGATAACATCAGCATCACGAATAGTAGAGAGGCGATGGGCTATTACAATAGTTGTACGGCCAATAGAAGCATTGTCCAAGGCTTCTTGGACTACCCTTTCAGATTCTGAGTCCAATGCACTCGTGGCCTCGTCTAGTAGGAGAAATGTTGGTGATTTGATTATGGCACGTGCAATTGCAATCCTCTGCTTCTGTCCCCCTGACATTTGCACGCCTCTCTCTCCAACCTTTTGTGTAAAAAATAACCAACCTTTAGTACAAAATTTCACATGAATTCGCAAAAGATCTTAAATAATTCTTAGAATTTTCACATATATTAAATATTGATTATCATCAGTGCATTATTGTTTTCTTAATTAACTATTTTCTACATTTTTTAACCAATGGAGTTTCAATAAACACAATTACTATTTATGAAATCTATAATCTATCATTTAATAATAATGCACTGAAAATATAAAAGAACATATCTTTTTTTGAAATATCTTTTTGATATTTTTGAAATGGAGAGAGTATATAAAAATATCAAACTTAATACACTGAACTAAAACATACTCCCTTCATTTCATATTAAGTGTCGTTGTAAAAAAAAAAATTGTTACTTGACTTTCAACTATTGATTGAAATATAGTTAGGTATATAAGTATTTTTTTTTATATACAAAATATGCATAATTAATTATTTTCTTAATCCGTGTGCACAAAACTGAAGTAAGACTTAATATGAAAAAAAGGAACAATAAATATGTTCTTAAAGTGGAATATATGTTTGGCAAAAGGAACCTGAGTTTTGTATCCATGAGGGAACTGAGAGATGAAGTTATGAGCATTTGAGGCCTTTGCTGCTTCCACTACTTCATCCATGGATGCATCCTCTTTACCAAATAGTATGTTCTCCTCTATTGATGTGGAGAAGAGTGCTGGCTCTTGGCTAACTAAGCCCATCTGCAATCTCAACCAGTTAACCTGAAAATTGTTGATAGAGACACCATCAAGAAGAATCTCTCCTGAGACGGGGTCATAAAACCTTTGCAAAAGGGCCAACACGGTTGATTTTCCCGACCCGCTTCCACCAACTAGAGCCACAGTTTTTCCAGATGGAACTCTCAGACAGAAGTCATCAAAGATGGGAGTTTCTGGTCTAGACGGGTACATGAACTTCACATGCTTAAATTCGATTTCTCCTTTGATTTTATCTAGAGTTTGACCTTCAGGTTTTTCCGAGTCTATATCGGGAATTCTTAGTATCATTTCCATGATCCTTTCCCCGGCTACAATCCCCTCAGATAAATATTGGAGATTCGACAAACCTCGGCCAAGTGTTCTGAAATGTGTAAGAAGATACCAAAGATCAAAACTATAATAAGGTTTCTTGCTTCTCAAGAAAACTAAAAACCCTAAAACTATAGTTACTTACGTGCCACCGAAGGTAATGCAAATGATGACTGCAAAGATGGTACCACCCTTAGCGCCATGGTACATAACCATTCGACTTCCGTACCATGTCAAGAAGGCCCAAATGGCGTAAATGATACCAGTGCTCCCAAGTGAGATACCTTTAACTAGCCCTTGTCTCAGCCCTAGTTTCACTGAGCCTTGAAGCGCAAGTGAGAATTTAGCTATCAACTTCCTCTCACTACCAAATGCATAGACTGTTCGCACCAAAGAGATGGCTTGCTCGGCAATAGAACCAGCTTCACTGTACTCTTCACGTATTTTCCTCGAGATGTTGATTAGGGCTCGTCCATGAATCAATCCAGGGATCAGGAGGAAAACTACGAACGGGAAGCCTACGATTGTGAGTCTCCATAGCATGATGAAAGCCACTATGTAGCTTGCAACAAACGCAGACGCAGTCATCAAAAAGTTCGGTAACTGCATAAAATTAAAATCATCAAGAACCGGTTTAAAAACAAGAAACATGACTAGAATAAAAATATAAAAATAAAAGTGTGAGACCTTTTCACTAAGGACGTCTTGTATGACAAGACTGTCACTTGAAACACTTGTGATAACATCAGAAGTGCTTGTGACATGAAGATCAAAGTAACCCACATCTTGTCTTAACACTGCTTTCAAGTATCTCGCTCTCATTCTTGCTGCTTGTCTCTCCCCCGTTCTTGTCCAGCAATATCCTTCTGTTTTGTATTTAACGCATCCAAAATAATTATAGACAAAATTAACCTTATAGAAATGCAACAAAATTGTTATTTAAATTTGATGTTTAGTTTCTTGATAAAACATGCTCTTATAAAAACTTACCAAGAAAACATAGCACCCATGATGCACCAGCCACATAAAGCAAAGTTATAGCATTCTGTTAATTATCCAATGTGTAAAAAGAAGGAAAGGTACATAAGAACTCTTTTCACATCAAGATTCACATTTATTTACAAAATGGAATAGCTCCCATATCATATAATATTATATGTTCACAAAAAATCATATATAGTAAGGTCTGACTGGTTTTGACTTGTAGTTGGCTTTTGCAAAAAAAATTGCTTTGAAACCTATAAAATTTTATAATAATGAAAGGTTTTGAAAAATATTATAAAGCTACAAGTTTTGGTTTTTAGAAAAAAATTCAACTTAACAAGTCCATAATAAAAATGGAATGTAAGAAATTTTAAGAAAACTTTGAAGACTTTTAAGTTTAAAAATATGATTGAAAATAAATTCTTTGTAAAATTTAAAAAAATTTAAAAGTCTCTGAAGTCTCGACTTATCAATCACACCCATAAATACAGTCACAAGTCAGAAACTATTAGACCATGATTAACCACAGTTTTTTAATTTAGATTCTTAGCTTTGGCTAAGAGACGGTTCTTAGAACATGTTTAGTAGGAAATTCTTAAGGTATAATTCTTAGCAAAATATAAAATCCGTCTCTTAACTTTTAACTAAAAAAAAACTAAACATGTTCTTAATTTTTTTAGTTAAAAGTTAAAAGACATGTTCTTATATCTTGTTAAGAACCTCACCCTAAAAATTCTTCCATTAAACATGCTTTTAGTTTTTCGTAGATTTTAACTAAAAGAAGTAAGAATCGTCTCTTAAATAAAAGATACAAGAACCATCTTTTAGCCAAAAAATATAAAAAAATATCAAATCATAAGTTAAGAACTCCGGATAAAACACCGGTGGATTTGGGCAAATTCTTGAGAACTAGCGAAGAAGCAATTGGCGCGGTTGATCATGCCCTTAAGAGGTTATGTTAGATGTGAACGTTCGGTTTTCATTTGGATTATCAAAAACAGAAAACAAAGAGCAAAATGGAAGAGAAAAAAAAACCTTGGTGATGGCTTTCATGAAGTTCCCATCATTGAACGAACCACCGAGGTCATTAAGTAGTAAGCTGGTGATGAAAAATACAATAGGAGTGATGAAACCATCACCGATGGCTCCTATCAAACCTAGTCCCATTAACATCCAATCCACACTGTCAGCATGCATAAAAACCGATCTTATGCTTCCCCAACTCTTCATTGTTCAATGTGTCTCCTCTCTTCTCAACGTTTTTAGAGAAAATACCAAAACGACTTCTTAACCTAAAGGAAACGGCAGCTCACAGCCTACCTGTTTTTGGTGGATCTTCTCGTGTAATGTTTTTTTGTTCACGCCTTCTTGGTCGGCTTTTTATATTAGCATTTCTGATACACAGAAGTAGACGGTAGGCCTATTAGTAATATAAAAGCTTTTTATATATTATAACATGCGTTTTATATCAGCAACTTCCCTATTTTAATTGGTTTTCTTCGTGTTATTTTTTAACTTTGAAAATATTTGTTTGTGTTCAGTATCTATATCTATAACTCGTAGAATAACAAAATGATTCTTTAAACAGCAATACTAAATGATGTCTGCTAAAAGATCTTTCAATTTTTCGTGTCTTCCACATCGTACTTGTGAATTCTGACCAAATTTGGAAAAACAGTTAGATGCCAGTAAGAATCAAATTTATTTTAGTGGACAAAATCATATTTTATTTGTGGAAAACGTTTTTGTAGTATATATATATTACTATCTTCACGTGTATCAGTCTCATACTATTAATTACAGAGCTGTTTGAAGTTTGAACATTTATAAACAAATAATGTATCTTAATCAGACATGTTATCAATTTATCATTGACTTTAGCTGTTTTGCATTACGTCATAGGACATATAATCGATAAAAATTCAATGCTGACCACTACGATTATAATAATAGATTGCATAATACTTTATCTTCGATTTCTTTTACAAAAAAAAATATCATACAAGTTTCATTATTATTTTTATGTAAAAATTTTATCTTAAATTTTCAAAATAAAGAAGTTTGTAGTTTTGGCCCGTTTGCGTATTAATGTGGAAGTCATCCGGGTTTGGGTTTAAGTTTTTTTTTTTCATATCAATTTAGATGTTCTTCAGCTTAAAAAATATTTTTGATTTCAGTTAAAAAAAAAAAGAAAAATTAGATGTTCTTACTAAAAGACTTATTAATAACCAAAATTATTTAATACTCAAAAACCAAAAATTCAAATTTAATAAAAATAAATGTGTAAGTTAGATATTAAAATATTAAACATTCAGATATTTATATTTTAAATATTCAGATATTTGATTATTTATTTAGATTTCTTTTAATAGTATTTTAAGTATCAATTCGCGTTTAAGGTTCAAATTAATAAGGTGGAAGACATTCCAAGTTCGCTTCTTATATACTAGTATTGAGAAATTTGTGCCACTTGAGTTCTCATCTTCATCAGGAGAATTAACTTCACAGGTCAAAATCTTGGAGAACATCTTATCTCGGATATGGGTTTTCAATACATGAGCAAAATTGTTAATGTTTATCAAGAAAGAAAACAGACCCATACCAACAAAAAAACAACACATGGGTGCTTGTTTTCTTCTTGATCTCACCATGAGTGACTCAAGGAAATACACTGATCTTGAATATAATATATCGTACAAAATTAGAATATAACTAGATCTTGCGAAATATCATTGACGATCTCAAATATCTCTGAAGTCTTATAAAGTACGAAGATACGGTATATGTATTTTATTCGATCTCTGTCTCACGAACGTGCTTGCTATTTAGAAGTATGTCTTACCGACCGTGTTTAATTTCCACATAAAAGAAAACAAATAATTTGTTCCCCTATAGAGTAATACCCGGAAGCCCGGGAACCACGTTGGTTAACGCGTATGCTTCCATTTTTCTTGTTTGTTTCTTCGTTGTTTCAAAATACCTAATTTAATTTATATTATAAAGTTTTCCATATTTTGTCAAGAAATGGTACATAAGTTTTCATAGTTGTTTCATATATATATCTGAAATGGTTTCTGTTATGAAGTATTTCACACTCCAATGTTTCGTGTCTCCCACATCGTCAGTACTGGCTCATATAGACTAATTTTGAAATTAATCAAATGAATCCTAGAAGAACTAAATCTGTATTTAATCTGTCTTCATATATAGTACTCAGTCAAAAACGTATTTTGATACAATTTGCTAATTTAGATAATATTTACTATTAATATCATTGATCATAGCTGTCTTCATATAACCTTATGATAAATTAAACTAACAAATGGACAAAGTCATTTATGAGATCTAACTTGGTTTTCAAATTTAAAATCCCTCCTTTTAAAAATGAAAACAATCATAAAATCTTCTAAATATAATGTTCTAAGAAAATGTAAACATTGTTAGATAGATCATCCATTTCAGACAAGATCGTTTGTGTTTGTTAGCTTGCACCCTGTAGAATGCAATCTCAGCAACAAAGTTCCAGCCCTTATCGAGACTTATTAGCTTTTGTGACTTATCACTCACCATTTCGTGGCTATTTATGTGCAAGTTGTAACCAACTATATTATTGACAGAAGGTTTGGCACTTCGGGAAGGCCTACAAAAGTGCAGGGAGCAGGAAGTCAAGAAGATAAATGATTATGGTAGCTTGGAAAATAATGCAGTGCCCGAATTTGAAACAATTTCTTTTCGATGGATTCCTAGAGAGGAAAATGTTGTAGCTGACTTATTGGCAAAACAGTATTAGGTGTAAATGAGGCTTTAATGCCCCATACCTAACTGCTATTGAATGAATGAAAATTGTGTTTAAAAAAATAGTCTTGTATGTTCTTATGGCATTATATCCCAAAAATGCTATATTTGAGCCATTTAGCTAAAACTTACAGAAGGAATAAAGTCCAAGACACGAACAAAACTGAACGAATCTTGAGGAAAAGTAAAAAAAAAAAGAAAGAAGAAGAGACTGGAGAGAAATTCCTAAACCGAACAAGTTACCTCCTGACTTAAAAAGCTAATGTTATGTTGCTTGTAACTATGCAGTGCCAAGATTAATGAAGTTCTTAAGATGTGGTTCTTAACAGAATATAAGACACCGTCTCGTAACTTTTAACTAAAAAAATAAAAACCGACTCTTAAATAGAACATTTAAGAGCTAGTTCTTAATTCTTTTAGATAAAAATTAAGAGACGATTGCTTATATTCCGCTAAAAACCACATCCTAAGAACCCTCCATTATTCATGTTCTAAAGAGTGATGGTCATGAATTCATGTTTCAGGCGTACGCCTGTTAGTCACTTAGAGCTATAGCAGACAAACAAGGTTACTCGTTTACAGAACAAGAAGATGACTTCCCTTTGATTATTGACACACTCACACACAAGAAAATGAGACCATGTGAAGTAAACACTTCTGGGTAAATTAGGTCGACCCTAAGATTTTGGGAACTTGCAATTATTTTTGTGTAGTTTTATTTTTTATAAAATGGGAAATTTAAAGAAAATTTTTTGGTAGCTTATATCAAATATAATTTTCTTCAAAAAATGGACACCTGTAACAAATATTTCACTTAACATGGTCAAGGGTCGGTCCTGGAAAACCAAGGTGATGGTTAGGATATTATGATTTGTGTATTTTTTACTACTTACACTACCAAGTTAGAAAGATGCATAGTTCATGAGAATCTAAAAAAGATTCGTAGACTATGTTTTGGTACAAAACCTTTTAAACTTATGTTTCTGGTCATGGAAGATTGACAAAACAAACATTCACTTATATATGTTTTTTTTTACGAACAAAGGGTAAGTGCAAAACATGAATATGTGTCCCCGAACAGGATAAAGAGAGCTTTTCTCTGGAAGAATCTTACTTTAGGGTCTGCTTCTCGATACAGTCAAAATCAAACTCAGGAAGAAAGAAACTAAAGAAAGCAAGAATTAAGGAGAGGAGAGAAAAAGAGAGGTTTTGCATCTATTCACCCTCCTTTTGTATTTCACTTTGTCAGATTCTCAAAGTTCAGAAGAACCCACAACTGAAAATAGATGTGATCCTAAAGTTATTCAAGGACAAACCTTTTAATAAGAAGGACGAACCAGTAGTGGTGGAGATATATTACAAGGCAGAGATTATATAATAGCAATCAATTATTTAAGGGAAAGTTAGCATTTTGAAAACAGAGCAACTTTAGTTAATGTTTTGCTTTGGCAGAGGAAAACACATGAGAGTTTGATGAAGACATAAACCTATAATTAATACAAATGTAATTACAAAACCCTTGTAACCTCATAATATCTGCTTCAATCTTCTTCTCACCTTCACTAAAGATTTCAAACTTCATAAGCAATGTTCCCAAGAATAAAAGAGAGCTAAAACTTCAACTTCCAAAATGCTATGGGTTCATTAGCATATATCTGAATCTCAAAAAATTGATTGTACCCCCAAAATAGCAGCTTCTTGACGTGGAAACGCAATTGAGAAGTCGCATAAATTAGTAAGTGTCTGAAAATGAACAAAGCCCCACATGAACATTATAGTTACATGAAATATCAATACAAAAGTTTGCACACCATGCACACGTCGTATATCATACTCGTGGTGGCTGTCTCGAAGTTTCTGCTTTCCTGAAAATAGTTTTGAAATAAAAGCTCAGTAAAGTTGAGTTCTCTCTGCAGACTAGAACTTTAACTAAAGTGGTCAAGTTCTACACAAGTGCCTTTAGTTCTTTTAAAGCATGGAAATTAGATAAAGAAGAATCTTTTTAACCAAAAATTATAACATTATCTACTTTCGAAAAATGACAATTAGTGACACTGATAAGAAGGAAAGAACAAGAATTTTGCATGCTAATAATCTTTTAGAAACAAGTGGTTATCGGTATCTGTGTAAAGTTAAATAAAACAAAACTTGAATTGAGCAAAACACACTAATGATCTAAGATTACATTTGTATAAACTTGCTTAAACCAACTTCAAGAGAAGAGGTTTAATCTCAGATAGAAAACTCAAAGAAGGAAATAAAAAAAATGATACCTGTTGTGGATAGGATCAGGTCCATTTGGAACCTTTCGCTTGCTCACATGAAACAGATTCACATCCTTACCACTAAACTGCACAGTCTTGACATTCTCTGTTGATGGAACACTTGGTGCAGAGTTTGCTAAGATTCCGACAAGAACAAACACAATAATAACAACTCCAACCAAAGCTCTAATGCCATTTCCACCCATACTGCAACCTATGTCCCTACAGCTTCTTGTTTAACGTGAAAAACAGACCAACCAAACCCAAGAATAGACTGAGCAGAACATCCATGATGTTGGTGAAGTGACTGTCACATAAATAGAGGGAGAGAAGAAGCTACAGAAAAGGGAAAGCAACAAAAAAACAAGCATTTAACTTGTTTTTATATACCATGGAAGACAAAGCCGTGATTGGCCTTAAATATAAAGATGAAGCACACAAAGCAACATTATACATACGTAGGTGTCCAACGTAGAGAGAGAGAGAGAGAGAGAGAGAGAGAGAGAGAGAGAGAGAGAGAGAGAGAGAGAGAGAG